AATGATGTGCTTTACTATCTCCAATGTTGTTATTATAGAGATAAAGCATAGGAATAGTCCAAGTAAAAAAGTGACAATGAACATAGGTTTCAATCGATTAAAACCATTTTACTTATCTTTTTATCTCATTTTTGTATGTGTTCTGTCGAACAAGACCTACAATTGTCGATTTGTAGTTTTCAAATATGTTTGAGCAATATTCGATGAATTTAATTAAATTCATTATTTGTGATGGTGCATGTTAAAATATCTCAATAGTGTCTTTCTATATAAATACTAGTCAAAAATAAAAACTCAAAAAGCGATAGTTAAATAAAATTTTTGAAGTTGATGAATATAATAATATCTCTATAATTCTATATAAAAATCATTTTATTTTAATAAAATTCGTTTACTGTGCACCTTTTCTACATGTCAAGTTCATTCTCAACATTGAGCAAAAATATTCTTCAATGTGATGTCCCCATTACTGAAATTCACTATGAATTATTTATCAAGTGTTTCAATGAAGAGTGTATGAAAATAGTTTTAACAAATAATTATCGACTGTAAAGTTTTAGTGGAAAGAAAAAATGAATAATAGTAGATATAATACATACATTACCTTTTAATATACGATTTTCTTTATTCACTTCTATATCTTATGGAAAAAGAGAAAAAATTATTGACGTCTTATATAGAAGACATGAAAATATTAAAATTCGCTCAAGAATGGAACATGGAATTAAAATCACATAGATGATCGAGGTTGAGTTAAAAAGTTAAAATCAAAATAATTTTTTTTTTGATAAAAGATTTTTAATATAAAAACAAGTTTTAGAATATATTTGACTTGAAATAATATATGTTTATTGTTAGACAACATAGTTGACAATAAAGGATTAAATTAACTTCAATGATTTATTCTTTCTATGAAGAACTGCTATTTTGATATATCAATCTAGGAAAAGTAAAATATTTTGTGTCTTCAAAGTTTGACCTAATTTTAATTTCAAATAAATTTACGAACAAACCTTTTCAATACTTTATATTCTCCGGATTTGATTTTAAAAATTTTGAAAAACATCAAAACTGAGAAAAGTAACATGAGTATGAAATATTTGGTGATAAACTACTGTTAAGTCATACATCTATTGATTAAAACTACATCGAATATTCCTACACTTTCGACACAATACATTGTTCATATTTGATCGGAATCTATAGGATAAAAATCTGTCAAATTCAGCCAAGTCTTTTCTAGAATATTCTTGCAAATCTCAATTGTGATTTCAAAATACTTACAAGTCAAATAATAATAGCTCATCGAAAATTTGATATTTGCATTCTATTGACTTTCTCTTTTAGAATAATTAACACAGTTCAGATGCATTTTTCAATGTTGATAGAATAAAATTTTGAGAAACAGTGTTCTTCTTAACCTTCTACTTTATTTGTACAGATTGAACTGCTGATGATCAACAATTTTATATGAATGTATAAGATAGATTAAGAATCTATATTTAGAAAAGCTGTTAAAAATGTTGCTTACTTTACAGATTTTTAACTTATTGGCTAGATCTTGTGCTCCATTGTCTCCGATTTCATTAGAACTAATATCCAAATAAGTTAATTTCTTTAATAGATAGTTTAAAGAAGATTAAAAGAATTGCATTCGAACGATATTTATAATAATGTACATTACATTCTTATGTATTAGGTCAATTCTTAAGTGTCGAAAAATGAACAGCAGCTTTAAGTATATTGTACATAGACGATAACTAATATCGATGGCAAAATATCCTAGACATGGATATTTTTCGATTATCTCGAGAGCGAAAAAAGTGGATTGAATTAAAGTCCTGTTAAATTACAGTAACTATAAAATAGTCAAGCTAGTCAGTATTCGTTGTAGATTTTGACCAGAAATTTTCGAATAAAATTTTCTGATTAACTATAAATTTCAGTTGATTAGATCTAAAATGCACTAATTTTGGAATAGTTCGCTGTATTGAATTGATTGGTAAAGTTTATTTTTTGTTTTGAAACAGTTTCACATCAAAAGAATAAAAATTAAAGAATATAAAAAAAAAACTCTACACCATTGAAAGCTTAGAATAGACTGAATTAGACAAATCATAATCTGACAGGCTTAGAACGTATTCAAACTGGAAACAATCAACTCAATACAGTGAATTACTCCAAAATCAATGCATTTTTCTTTTGGAATAAATTTTTTCATTCTCGAGACAATTGAAAAAATATTCATGTTTAGGATATTTTCCTGCCGATAGTAAGTAGATTATTTTGAAAGAAATATTTAGCTAATAGAGTCAACATTAAAAATAGAATATTTAGTACTATATCTGGGTGTGGGTGTGGGTGTGAGTGTTAATTTTTAATTCTATAATATCAACACTCAGTCACACTCTCACACCCACACCCACACCCACACCCTGTTGATGTTGATGATGAACCTTTAGATAATGGAGTTTTTACTCAAAAACCATTATCACAACAACAAGAAACTAATTATAAACAATCAAAGAGGTTCTGAATTATTTAAAAAATATATTGTAATTGCACATAAAAGAGCTCAATTAGAAATTGAAAGAGAAGTGCATAAAAAAAAAACAACAAAAAGAAAAGGCTTATTACAACTTACCAAGAGATTCTGATGAAGTCAAGTTATAACTTGACAGAAACTAGTCAATAAACTCTACAAAAAAGAAAAATAACAAGAAAAATCTTATAAATTTTTATTTTGTTGCAATTATCTCGAGAGAGTGTATAAGTAAAAGATAGATTATTTCTTCATAGAAATAGTCAATTACTCTTTTTTTCTTTTTGAAAAAACATATTTTGAGTGACATCTTTGTCTGGAATAATTTACGGAAGAAAATCAAGGGTGTACAGATGATTGCATGTTTGATGCAGATAAAGCATATTGTCATAGACGATGAGATTCACGTGAAATAAACCGTGACGCATGAAACACTCAATCAATTAAAAGAGAAATTTCTGAAAAATGATAGAAAAAACTTGTTGTACATTGATCGTATGCATGTGATTATTTTGCACGTATTGTGATGCATATTTTTCGTATTAGTATCATATGTCTACATAGAAGACGAACCAAAGAACAAGCAAAAGAAAAATATTGTACTACTCAAGAATTAACTGGCAGAGTTTTGTATACACTGTGATAGCTATAGTTCTTTTTGCTATTCAATGGTTATCATATTTCTGTATGAACGAAGAATAAAACACTGGAGGAAAAAAAGATTAAACTCTCATTCGAAAATAAAAGAATATGATATCACAATATCCCAATCCTTTTGTTTGCACATATTTTATTAGTCAGTAGTTATTTTGGACAGAAATACCTTCTTACTGCATGAATGATAAATGGGAGAAAAGGTAACACATTTGATAAAGTCCCAATAAAAACAAGTAACGTAGGAAAAGTAATATCGTCATTTTTCATGATACGGTTGAACGCACGAGGGGAAAGAATGAATTTTTTTCAGTATATATACGTGTGATTATGCTTTAGTTTAAGCACATAACAACGTCGCTACTCAAATAGTATTCTCGTCGTGACTAAACAATATTCTCAACAAATATTATAAGCAAATGTACAGGGTGTAAAAAAACCATTACGCCCCCCCTTCCAAACCTAAAGACCAAATAGTACCCCCAACAATTTTATACCAAATGAAAGCCCGCAAAAAGTTACGTCTAGTGGTATAGTCAGAACAAATATAGTTTGTAATATTATAACGATTCTAGGCTCAATACATCATTTTCACTTATATATCACAATCTCGAGTACGTCAAAAGCCGTTGTGCTCAACAGTAACTTAAGTTGTGAATCATTAATTATTCAGTTTATTGATAATATTGAATACTAAAAAATGCTTTTTCGAAAGTTTCAGAACTTCGTATGACCCCCATCAGCAGCCTTGAGAGCATCAAATCTTTTTCGCATCGAGCATAACAAGTCAATAAAAAGATCTGTATCATTTTCAAGATCTTTGAGCGTATTCTCCAAATTCGTTTTCAGTGCATCGTAATTGTATCTGCTACGACGATCTTCATTTGCCATTAGTTCCTCAACTTTATCTTTAATAATTGCACCAATATTTTCTGCAGGATTCATGTCAGGACTATTGCCTGGCCAAATTGAATTTCCCCAGAAATTCACATTCTCATCTTCTAAAAGATGTTGTGTTGCATTCGCTTTCATACAAGGTGCCTTGTCGTGAAGAAATATCATTTCGTTCGTATCGAGAACATTGGACGAATCACGAAGAAATGGGATCACCTGTTGTCGAAGGATAGTGTCACGAAAATAAGCGCCATCCCAAGACTGTCCATGTTCTTTTAGCATCCAAAGTAGTTTTTTTGCAGTAAACATGACGAAAACCCCAATACATGTTGCATTGTAAACCATCTCTCGGTATCTTTCATCATCACTGATGTCTTCAATACTTCTTGCCCAAATTCGATCATTTTGATGGTTTGGTTTTCTTACAACATAAATGTAACATTCATCCGAAGGTGCAACATGTAGAAAATCTTCTTCAGTCCAATCAGTAAGAAAATTTGCTAGCCACTTGCGATCTTCGATATGTGTATTTGTCTTCAGTGGCTTGGCAATCACATGGAAAGCTTTTAATCCTTGCCGATGGCGTTCATTGTAAATAGTCATGTGACTCACCCGCTGTTTTGTTTTCTCTAAAATCTCTCTTGCAACTTTTCGACAGCTACTGCTTTTGACACCACTTTCAGAAGAGATAATGTTTCTGCTCTCCTGATTAAGCACCTGGGGTCGACCACTGCCAAATTGTGTATAACATTCTTCGATAGATTTATTCCAATTTCGTCGTACCCAATCTTCACTGCGACGTAGCTTCTCGGAAATCCAAGGGCGAGTAATAATTGAGTCTCCTGTTCTTGCAATCAGTTCGTCACGTATTTCACGATATGTGACACATCGAATTCTGTCAACGAATCGTTGCTCTTCCGAATCATGAAGCAGATTAGCCATTTTGGTTTTTCAATTAATGTACCATAGAATTTTTTATTAACTAATCAGCAAATTGTTCAACGTCTAACGTGAATAAAAATTACTTGCGCGGACAACAGATACTCAGAAAGAAAATCAATGAAAAAAGTTGAAAATATTTCGACACTCAACCATTTTCTTTTCTGTATTCTCTTCTTATCTGTTCGTGCATAAATGTGCACATAACTTTCTTTTTTTCTGTTCCTTCTTCTCGTTATCAGTCATCAATAGTAAGGCTTTTGATAATTCACACTAAACATTACTCAACTCGCTCACGTGCTTTGTGATACTCAAATATAACATTAGAAAACGAAAATTTGGCAAAATACGTGACATATTGGTCTACGATATCGTACATTTAATAAAAACTTGGAGCCATGAAAACTACGATCTATTAATACGTAATTCGAAAGTGAAGAAAGATAACTTGTATCATTTCAATTGATATGAGACTGTGATACATAAGTGAAAATGATGTATTGAGCCTAGAATCGTTATAATATTACAAACTATATTTGTTCTGACTATACCACTAGACGTAACTTTTTGCGGGCTTTCATTTGGTATAAAATTGTTGGGGGTACTATTTGGTCTTTAGGTTTGGAAGGGGGGGGGGGGGGGGGTAATGGTTTTTTTAGCCCCTGTATGTATATGTAAAATTGTAATTTCTTTGGATATTTTTAGTACTAATTGTAGATGAGACATTTGCACGTAAGAGTAATGTTAAAAATGTATCAAGATTCTCTACGAAATAAATAGTAGAGATTAGCTATTGTAAAGTCAATCTTCGTCTTACAAATAATCTATAGTTACCACTGTCCATCTAATCTGTTATTTCTACATTACAAATAAAATCATTATATTTACACTTATAAAGAATAGATAAATGAATTCTTTATCTTGAAAGATAAAGATAAAATAAGGAAAAAAAGTAGTGTTTTTAAAACAAGATATAATGCCATGGAGAGGAAGTTCTTAAAATACAGGAATTGAGTGCTGATTATTTTGTTCTACTTTATTACGACTTAGATTTTAAGAAAAATTTTAAATCGTTGTTATACTCATATTCTTTATAGTTCGGTAACACTAAGTATCCTAACTACGAACATCGTCATTGTCGTCATTACTCAAATGCGAATTAAGTTCGTCAAAAGCTACTTCATTTGATGCGGAAAATTTTTCTTTATCAAAATTCAGAATAACATATTAGATATTCAAGTTTATTTTCTTGATCAATGCCAAATATCTCTTCAATAGCATAGAATTGTTATAAATAATAATTTTTCAAGTTTTAACTTTTAGTACACTAGGATAGGATTAGAAAACTAGTTCAGAGCATAATTACAAAAGAATTGAGATGGTAGATTGTCACAGATGGAAATATCTGACACAGTTGGGTATTTCAGATAAATTTGAGTTAAGAGAGAGGAAGTTCTGAAAATCCAATAAGCATGAGATGCGAAGAGGATGGAAATTTCAGAATTATTCATCCATATATTAATTTATATATCTTAGATTGAAGAACTAGAGCATATAGATGATGTCTCAACATTTATTCATTCATAGATATAAGATACCGAAGAAGCAAAACCAGTTTTCTCATATAATCTGCCTGTTATGAAAAAGATGTTCATTACCGATAACTAAGAAATTGTCAATTTGTTTTTTTTCTCTGAATTTGAGACCTTTTTGTTTCATATTTAACACATTCACCACGATGTAGCCCACCGGTGGGCTACGCTTTATTTTAGCGAGAATCTGTATAGAAAAGCATATTCTTTTGATTTTTTCTGAAGCAGGAGGTTAAATATAAGGAGTCAACTGTGCTGCCTTTAGTGCTTTATTTGAATTCTTTACTCCATAGCATAATGCTTATCATTAAAACACTCAAGACAAAAAAATTTCCCACAGTCAGAACAGAAAGTTTTCACTTTCTTTGCTGCCGTACGGCTCGCTTCTCTTGACTGTTGAGCCCTTCGCTTCGCATAGTCGCCAGTGCATCGTCTGCCGACATTGCGGGTAGATCCTTCTTTTTCTTCGAGCTTGTGATCAGCGAGTTTGCGCTTTGAATGACTTGCTGATTGTTGTCTTGGATCAGGCTTCAACTTTTCCATTGGCATGCCAAGCAGTAAAGACTGGACAAGACTTTCACGAAACTGCAGAATGGTCACTTTGCTTTCGGTGTAGCTTTCCTTATATATCAAATAGCTATTTACCAGTGCCGTCCCGAAAACCAATTCAAATGCTACCTTGCGGCACCATTTTATGGATTTCCTGAGACATGTGTAATATGTTGATAGTTGATCAGATAAATCAGTACCTTGTCTTCCTTCATTGTAATCTAATACAGCTTGGGGCTTCATGATCCGCTCATTTTGAAAATTTGTTTTTCCACTGTCTACTACACTTGCTGAATGTGACGGTCTTGTGGATATCATTAAGACATCGTTTTTGTCTTTCCACCTGATTAATTTAATTCCATCTTGACTCTGAAGTCGATAAACTTCTCCACGACTAAGATTGTCTTCAAGAACTTTAGTTCCTGATCGAACACGATTGCTTCGTTATGTTTCAATGAGATACGTATCATGTTCCAACAAATATTTTGCAAGAGAGATACTGGTAAAGAAATTGTCAGCTACGACGGTTCGATAACATCCATCAAGACCATCTAATAGTTTCATTACTATTACTTGAGCATGTCCGACACCTGCCATCGATTCTTGCTCACCAGTATAAATTACGTAATTCCAAGTGCATCCATTGGTAGCTGCTAATTTGTACATCTTTATACCGTACTTGTGCGCTTTACCCGGTATATACTGCCTGAATAAAAGTCTGCCTCGCCATGGTATCATACTTTCGTCAATACTAATAACTGAGCCAGGCATATATACTGATGAAAATCTCTCTTTCAGTAAATCTGAGAGTGGTTTCAACTTGAAAAGCGTGTCTTGTTTCGAATTCCTATTATTGTTGTTCGAAAAATGCCAAAACTTGAGGAGTAATTCAAACCTCTCTCTCGGCATAGCGCTTCGAATAATCTCCAACCCATACAACTGACTACTGCTCCAGTAGTGGTTCAGCTGCGACATTTGTACTAACCCCATCTCGATAATAATCCCAAAAAACTTGAGCATTTCTTCATGAGTGGTTGGTTTCCATTGACGATATTTGGACCGTCTGCTAATCTCATGGGCTTCCAAGTATTGTTCGCCATATCGATTAGTTTCGCGAACCATAAGATCGATAATTTCGTCTGTGATGAAATGTCGATAGCAAACGATAGGATTGACCATATGATCCTCCGGAGCAGAAGTTACTTCTTCGACGAGTCCATGATCTTCCATAAATTCTTCATCGGATTCCGATTCTATTTCTTTCCAGACGTTTGAACTCATTTCGTCGTCAGAAATTTCTTCGTCGGAGCTTCCAGATTCAACGTGCATTCTATCCAGATCATCATCCAAAAAACTCAGTTCACTAAGTGAGCTAGTGCTCTCTTCTGTATCGGTTTCTTCGAACGACATGTAAATAATTCGGAAAGTTCGGCGGCTTTTATAGGTAAAATCACAGATACAAGAATAAGTAGGAGAAAACCGGAAATTTCGCTCTGACTCATGGTACGTCATGATATGAAGAAGAGAACGGTGAATCATCCGTAGACGATAGTGAAAAGGTCACTACATGCATTTATTAGAAGTTTACTACTGACAGGAATGGATATTTCGAAGACTTTCCCCAAGAAAAATGAATCGTGGTGAATGTGTTAACATAAAAATCCGACTCTATGAAAGTCATTTATGGGAATTAAAGTCAAGAAGGTCATAAATATATATAGAATGATGGAGAATTCAAGCGCCATCAAAGCATATAATTATATTGCGATAAGAAAAACAATTTTTATAGAACCTAAAAGAGTAGCAAAAAGATGATGATATTTTGTATTTGTTAATTCAGGGGACATTTCATGTACTGAATTTTTTTCTCAGCACATGGGTGCAAAGAAGTTGATATTTATACTTTCCTCCAATTTCCACGGATTATTTATATAGTTTTAATGTTTTTCTTTTTGCTTCTCGATGGTGTGATGATATGAAAGTGTTACTTCAGACGTTGGGAGTTCGTAGTCACAACAAGAAAAATAATAAGGATAATATTTATAGAAAATCGCTGAAAGTGATTCGTGTTTCGACGTTTAAATCATCAAAAGTCAGTGTGTATGCAATTCATGTTGTCATTTAAAAGCTCAAAGTAAAGGTTCAAAGAATAGAAAGCTAAACACATAGTGCTAAAATTTGGATGGTAATTAACTGTTTCAC